ATCTGGTTCAGATTCCCAGCACCCACATACAAGCCAGGTGTGGGGGAACTCACTTGTAACCCAGCACTGGGGAAATGGGGATGGTGAGTAGAGATATACGATCCCAGGGGCTTCTAAGATCCTAGAGAAGCTAAATAAGAAGGTGAACCCAAAGACAAACATATAGTCATCCTCCTGAATATTAACCTTCATCAGGTGATGAAAGGAGACAGAGACAGAGTCCCACATTGGAGCACCGGACTACAACCAGAAGGTCCAAATCAAGAACAGGAGAGAGAGCACGAGCAAGGAACTCAGGACCTCGATGGGTGCACCCACACACTGAGACAATGGGGATGTTCTTTCGGGAACTCACCAAGGCCAGCTGGCCTGGGTCTGAAAAAGCATGGGATAAAACCGGACTCGCTGAACATAGTGGACAATGAGGACTGCTGAGAAGTCAAGAACAATGGCACTGGGTTTTGATCCTACTGCACATACTGGCTTTGGGGGAGCCTAGGCTGTTTGGAGGTTCACCTTACTAGACCTGGAAGGAGGTGGGAGGTCCTTGGACTTCCCACAGGGCAGGGAACCCGGTCTGCTCTTCAGGCTGATGAGAGAGGGGGAGTTTATTGGGGGAGGGGAGGGATATGGGAGGTGGTGGCGGGTAAGAGACAGAAATCTTTAATAAATAAATAAAAATTAAAAAAAAAAAACGATCCCAGGGGCTTGCAGACTAGCCAAAATGGTGTGCTCCAGAGTCACTGAGAGGTCCTGTCAAAACAACAAACATAAGTGGAGGCTGGAAAGGTGACATCCCAAATATGAGCTCTTCCAGAGGACCTGGGTTCAATTCCCAGCACCCACATGTTGGCTTCCAATCATCTGTAACTCCAGTACAGACAAAACACCCATGCGAATGAATGAATGAATGATTAAAAAATGAGGTGCATAGATGCACTCACAAACGCAACTTAAAATAATACAAACAGCCTGGGGGTGGTAGTACACATTTTAATCCCATCACTTGGGAGGCAGAGGCAGGCAGATCTCTGTGAGTTTGAGGCCAGCCTAGTCTACATAGAGTTCTAGGACAGCTAGAGCTACAGAGAAAGACCCTGTGTTGAAAGAAAGGAAAAAGGTGGGGGGAGAGGGAGGAAGGAAGGAAATAATAATATTACAAAAGTAAATAATTAAGATACAGGGCAAAAAAGGAAGGCACCTGACAATGACATCTACACACTGACATGCATGAATGCTCAAGCACATGCGCGAGCATGCATGTTTACACAAACATACACGTGTGTATGCATCCATGTACAAAACACATACACAAAACATGCATTCGCATAAAATAAGCAATTTAAGCAAAAATAATGAACTGCAGTGTTCACAACACACATAGAAGTAAAACATGACAAAAAAATACAGAGTAGAAAATAAGAAAGACCAAGTGTGAAAAGAAGTTATTTAAGAGAGACTATGGTAAATCCAGGCACATATTGTTTTACAAAGCAAACATTTTAAAAGTATGTATTTAATAAGGGTCTATTACCCAAAATTTATAAAGAACTTTTCAGGAGACAGATAACACAGTCAGTAAAGTGCTTGTGCAAGCATGAGGGTCTGAACTTGATCCTCAACATCCTGTAAAAAGCAAAACATGGTGGTGTGTGCTTACAATACCTGAGCTAAAGCCAGCAAGAGCCTGGGGCTCACTGGCCAGCCAGTCTATAGTGTGCTCCTGGCTAACCAATGAGAGGTTTTGTCTCAAAGAATTAGATGAATGGCTCTTGAGAAATAAAACCTGAGGTTGACCTCTAGACTCTACACACATGTACGTATATATGCATGTGACAAATACACAAATAAGTTTTTTTTTTATTTTTAATTTTCGAGACAGGGTTTCTCCGTAGCTTTTTGGTCCCTGTCCTGGAACTAGCTCTTGTAGACCAGGCTGGCCTCGAACTCACAAGAGATTCGCCTGCCTCTGCCTCCCGAGTGCTGGGATTAAAGGCGTGCGCCACCACCGCCCAGCCACAAATAAGTTTTGTGCTGGAGATGTAGCAAAATAAAAAGCTTGTCTTGTATGTATAAGCTCTGAGTAGAAGAATGAAAAGAAGACGAGGAGGAGGAAGAAAAACAACAGAGTACTTAGGACATGCATTCTGGAGGCTGAGATAGGAGGACTATCTGAGTCCAGAAACTTGATAGCTTATATAACAACAACAACAAAAGCCAAGTAACCCAATTTTAAAAAAGGCAAAAAAGTCCAAAAAAATCCCTAAAAAAGAACAACAACAACAAAAATAAATCAATAAAAAAGCCAAAAAACAAATGGCCAAACCCCAAAAAGCCCTGTGAAATTTCTATATAGCAATTCTCAACCTGTGGGTCATGATCCCATTGGGGGTCAAAACGACTCCTTCCTGCATATCAGATATTTACATTATGATTCAAAACAGTAGCAAAATTACAGTTATGAAGTAGCAACAAAAATAATGTTATGGCTGGGGGTCAGCACAGCATGAGGAACTGTACTAAAGGGTCACAGCATAAGAAAGGGTGAGAACCACTGCTCCAGAAGAATATGCAAATGATAACAAGCAGGTGAAAATTGTTCAACATTACAGAAATGAAAATCAGAACATACACTTCACATCCAAGTAGGATGGCAATTCAAAAAATACTGGGGTCAACCAGATACTTCAGGACAGGGCGTGCCAAGACACCCAGCTGTGCTGGGGCCTTGATGTCAAAGTACAAAACAATCCCGGGAGAGGAACTAATGCTAGGAAGGATGGAGAATAAAACAGGAACCTACAACATGCTGCTGGTGGAGACAGAAAATAGTTCAGAAATTGTGGGAAAAGTCTGACAAATCTCAAAAAGGTAAACAGATGACCATCCTAGCAATTCTGCTTACACATATATATAAAAGAATTGGAAATAAGCATTCCATCAAATACATGTACACATATGTTCATAGCAGTATAATTCAAAATAGTCAAAAATGTGCAAATGGCCTAAATATTTACCAATAGTTGAGTGAAAAAATTGTACTATATGTTAAACAGGACATTATTTAGTCACAAAAACAAACTGAAACATGCTGTAACATGGATGAAACTAAAAAATACTGTGCTAAGTAAAAAAAAAAAAGAAACAAAATATAAAATATCCAGAACAGGAAACACATGCAAACAGAATATATATTGGCAATTGCTGGAGGAGAAAATAGACTGACTGTATAACAGATATAAGTTTTACATGGTACTGATGTGGGATTCCCCTCTGTATGTTGTGAATATCATTGGTTAATAAGAAACTAGTTTGAGCCTATAGCAGAGCAGGGCAGAACAGAGGTAGGCGGGGAAAACTGAATGCTGGGAGAAAGAAGGTGGGGTCAGGGAAAAACCACGTAGCCCTGCTGGAGACAGACACCAGAATTTTACCAGGTAAGCCACAGCCTTGTGGCGATACACAGATTAATGGAGATGGGTTAATTTAAGATATGAGTTAGCCAGAAATACACTTAAGATATTGGCCAAACAATATTGCAAATAATATGGTTTCTGTGTGATTATTTTGGGGCTCAGCAGCCAGGAACTAACTAATTGCCTCCAACAACACAGCATAATAGAAATATTCTGGAATTAAAGATTGTGGATGTGTAATCTTAACTACATAATTAACATTTTATGCATTTTAAATGCATATTACAGAACATGAAAGTGGACACTTATGGCTCACACATTCAGGAAGCTGAGGCAGAAGGATAGAAAGCTAGCCTGGGCTGTATAGCAAGAGCTTGTCTAAAAGAAGTATATTTTAATCTCTAAAGGAAGCATTAAAAAAATTCCTGCTATGCCAACAGAAGAAATAGAATAACAAAATTTAATTAATCCAAGTTTAAAAACAGATGAGACAAATAGCAAAGTGGATTGTTTAAACTTAATCATATAAATATCTATATGTGTAAGCGTGTGTGCATGTGTGTGTGTGTGATCGTGTGTGTGCATACACACTATACAATACACTAGTCACCTGTGGCTACTGTGCACATAAATGATGGTATATTCTGAACATAGCTGTTTAAATACTCACTGAATTTTTTTAAAAATGTAAAACAAACCATCAATAACTTTACACTGAATGCATGCTGAAATGATAAAGAATACTGGGTCAAAATACATTATAAAAATGTGAACTGCTTTTTCACATCTTTGAAATTGCTTCAAAATTTAAAGTATTTCAATCTCCCTAATAATAGAACTTCCAACTGATAAGCAAAATAGGGGCTATAGCTCAGTGCTTTATCTTATCTACCATGTGTGAGGCCCAGAAATCAGTATCATGCACAAAAGAAAGGGAAGGAGGGAGAACATACAGTTCTGTAACCACAGTTTGAGACTTTAACACATATCCTTCAGGTACTTGAGAAAAGTCAGCACAAGGGAATGGGGAATGCAGGAAATGAAGCTGGCCTGATGACTTAACCCAGGCACCACACCCACCAGTACAGTGCACATACTCTTTTTTTAATATTTATTTATTTATTATACAATACTCTGTCTGTGTGTATGCCTGCAGGCCAGAAGAGGGCACCAGAGCCCATTACAGATGGTTGTGAGCCACCATGTGGTTGCTGGGAATTGAACTCAGGACCTTTGGAAGGGCAGACAATGCTCTTAACCTCTGAGCCATCTCTCCAGCCCACATACTCTTTTTAAGTACTCTTGTTATCAGGACAGAGTGTATGGTGGTGCATGATTGTAGTTTAAGAGACTGAAGCTGCAGAATGTACTGCTGACCAGCATAATTATCAGAAGGTGACTAAAGAGGGTCCTAGTTCCATGCATGACACAGTAAGCACACGCCTCCTGTATCTACCATTGAATTCAGATAACAAAAATGACCAGAACACATGGAACAGTTATTAGAGGCCTCTGAAAAGTAAATAGTAGCAAGTGGGTGGGGAAGAGGACCTTAACATAGTACTGAACCAACAATGAATTTACCTTTTTATTATTCCTCCAATATCCACCAGCCGGAACTGCAGCCTGAAACCCAAAAGTGAGCATCAGTGTAGGTACAGAGCTCCAGAAAAAGCCTAATTCTAGTTCAAGTTCTGTAGTGTATCCTGAGAGAATTAAAAAAATCTCACATTTCTCTTTAAATTCTCTGCATATCTCTAAGCAATCCCATGATAAAAGTCAAAGAAACAGTGACCCACAGGAACACAGAACTCTGAAAGAGGCCCACTCCTTTGACCAGAAGGGAGAGGCAAAGCTTCACTGCTTCCCACCACCCCAACCCCTGCCCCTTATCCCTTTCATCATTTACTCCCACGTGAATTATTAACATTTTCCAGACTTAAATAAATCCCTGCCTTTCTAGATACAGGACTGAAATAAGTAACTCTAAGAAACTAGACAGTACCAATACTCAGACTGGGGAGAAGACTCCAGGAAAGCAATCCCATGAAGGGCTACTGAACTCCAGTGTTTACCCCACGCTGCGTGTGGGTGGATATAACAAACAAGCAAGCTAGACTCTCAGAACTGAACTGTAACACAGTCCACCAACCAGATCCCAGGGCAGCCACGAGTATTAGCAACAGACACAGACCTCAATGCTGACTGCAGAGGCTTGCTTAAAGCTGGGATAAGATGGTGGACCCACAAACTCACAGTTCTCTTCTCATAGCCTCCCCTAAGCTCTGAGATTACAGGTGTGCACCTGTAGGTGATACACTATGGGCATCAGAAAATAGAACCATTTTTATGAAATTAGAATAAAACGCAGATCCTTTTAAGTGGTGGTAGCAGTGCACACCTTTAATCCCAGCACTCGGGGCAGAGGCAGGTGAATCTCGAGTTCAAGACCTACAAATCAAATTCCAGGACAGCGAGGGCGATACAGAGTAAACCTGTCTCAAAAAACATATATATGACAACCCAGATATGCATACCAAAAAGGCAAAAATTTCAACTTCTGTCAGCCAAAACCGAAATGACAGAAATGCTGGAACTGTGAAAACTTTAATATAGCTAGAATGAAAATGCTCCAATAACTAAGGCTAAACACTCTTGAAATAAAAAGTACTAGCAAAGAAGCAAATGGAAGTGTTAGAATTGAAAATAAGTAGAGCTTTAAAATTCGTTGAATGAACTCAATAGCAGCAGAATAAAGATTACAAACCAATATCTCATACGAACATACAAGCAGCATTCTCAACAACAAAATACTGACAAAATCCAGCAACATACAGGCAGAACTATAAACCATGCCCAAATGAGATCTATCCTACATATGGAAAAAAATCATTGTCTTGGGATCTAAAGATAATTGATACCTGGGTCTACTCCTCATGGGGTCTAACTGTACATCTTCCCTTCAGTTCCATGAACAATCAATCTCTGTATCTTTTAAGAGTTGCCCATCTTGCCGGGTGGTGGTGGCGCATGCCTTTAATCCCAGCACTTGGGAGGCAGAGGCAGGCAGATCTCTGTGAGTTCGAGACCAGCCTGGTCTACAAGAGCTAGTTCCAGGACAGGCTCCAAAACCACAGAGAAACCCTGTCTCGAAAAACCAAAAAACCAAAAAAAAAAAAAAAAAAAAAAAAAAAAAAAGAGTTGCCCTTCCTTAAAGGGAGAATTAGGCAACTTGACATTTGAAATCAGAAGCAATTGATAATGACACATAATTCCAAAGAGTTTATAATCTAGTAAAAAAATGAAATTTAAAAGTTTAACATTTTAAAAATATTCTTTTTATAAGTGTTTTTTAATGATTTATTTATTCTTCTGAGTATGGGTATTTTGCCTGCATGTATGTCTGTGCACCAGATGAGTGCTTGGTGTGCAAGTAGGGCAGGAGAGGGCACTGGATTCCTAGGAACTAGAGTTGCAGATGGTTGTGAGCAACAGTGTAGGTGCTGGGAACTAAGCCAAGGTCCTTTGCAAGAGCAGCCAGGGAGTGCTATTGACCTCTGAGCTACCACCCCAGCCTCAACATCATTTTGTTTGTTTGTTCTTTGAAACACAGTTTCTCTACGTAGCTGTTCTGGCTGTCCTGTAACTTGCTATCTCAACCAAGCTGGCCTTGAACTCTAAGAGACCACCTGCACCTGCTTCCAGAATGCTAGTATTTAGGGTGTGTACCCCCACACCTGGCCAGCCCCATCTTAACATTTATAAACACTTACAAATCACTGGACAACACCATCTGGGTGGTGCACACCTGACTACAGTACTCTGGGAAGGGAAAGGATTACTGCAGATTACTGACTACAGTACTCTGGGAAGGGAAAGGATTACTGCAGATTACTGACTACAGTACTCTGGGAAGGGAAAGGATTACTGCAGATTACTGACTACAGTACTCTGGGAAGGGAAAGGATTACTGCAGATTACTGACTACAGTACTCTGGGAAGGGAAAGGATTACTGCAGATTACTGACTACAGTACTCTGGGAAGGGAAAGGATTACTGCAGATTACTGACTACAGTACTCTGGGAAGGGAAAGGATTACTGCAGATTACTGACTACAGTACTCTGGGAAGGGAAAGGATTACTGCAGATTACTGACTACAGTACTCTGGGAAGGGAAAGGATTACTGCAGATTACTGACTACAGTACTCTGGGAAGGGAAAGGATTACTGCAGATTCAAGGCCAGTATAGGATACAGAAGAAAAGAAGACAGACAGTGGTGCACAAATTAAGATTAAAATATCGCAGGGCGGTGGTGGCACACACCTTTAATCCCAGCACTTAGGAGGCAGAGGCTGGCGGATCTCTGTGAGTTCAAGGCCAGCCTGGTCTACAAGAGCTAGTTCCAGGACAAGCTCCAAAGCTACAGAGAAACCCTGTCTCAAAAAAAGAAATATTGCTAGCTTGATATGGCCATAAAATTCACCTGCTCGCCGGGCGGTGGTGGCGCACGCCTTTAATTCCAACACTTGGGAGGCAGAGGCAGGGGGATCTCTGTGAGTTCGAGACCAGCCTGGTCTACAAGAGCTAGTTCCAGGACAGGCTCCAAAACCACAGAGAAACCCTGTCTCGAAAAAACAAAAAAAAAAAAACAAAAAACAAAAAAAAAAATCATCTGCTCTTATAACCTTGGCAAGCCTTGCTCACTACTCTAGTACACATGGGTTATTGTACAACTGACAGGAAACTTTTTTTTTTTGACACGTTCTTATGTACCCAAGGTTGGCCTGGAACTCACTATATAGCCAATGAAGACCTTGAACTTCGATCCTGTGCACACCTCCCCAGTTTAGGAAAATCTTACAGCAAACTTAGCCAAGTGCCAGATTTAACTTACATTAATACAAATGAAAACTAAAACACAAGTATTTGGCAATTAGGAAAATTAGAATGTTGATAACAGAAAATTGTTTATTATTTCATTCTTATGTCTTGCCAGTGGCTTTTAAGATCTTTTGTTTTCTGTACTAAAGCAGAACAGTGAAAATGTTTTTACAGAAAGCTGAAAAAAAAAGCTATGTATTAATTTGCTTTGGGTTGTTCTAGTCTCTCTGGTAAAGTCATAATTAGGAAGGCTTTTTTAGGGTTGATTCTAGTCTCACAGGTACAAAGCTCCTCCATATCTGGAAAATCTAAATTCCTATGTGAAGAGGCTGTGTTTTTAAAGCATATTATTTACACAATTCACTAGAATGGCTCCTCTGGAAGCTGGGTGGCTCTCTTATGCAATTATGTACTTAGGAACCCTCCCCTACACAGCCGTGGAAATTCAAGTAAGAATAATTTACTGGGTATGCACAGTTATTAGAATTTTAAAGCATTTTTTTGTTCAAAATTCTAGTTTATCAGACAGTTATATTTGACTAAATGTGTCCTTAATCAATAATAATGTGCAATGTTTTAGGAGGTAGCCAGGCTTGAACTGTGATGTTAAAGGAATTTTGGGGGCTGCTGCCCTCCCTCCTGTTAAAGGCTCTCCCTCCCTTTCTACCCGCCAAGCTTTGCGGTGAAATTAACAACTAAGATTCTAAACATCTGTATTAGAATACTGACTTCAATTACAGATGCAGAACTTTATCTGTAAGGAACTGTTAGGAACATTTTAACAGTGAGGAAGCTGGGAGCATACAAATTAAGACTGTTGAATTTGAAAGAATAAAATAACTTTGTATACACACACACACACACACACACACACATATGTCAAATAAAGGGCAAGGAAGGTACTTTTGTAGTGGTATCGATGACTGCAGACTCAGAGTTGAGAAAGAGGGTCATAGAAGGCTTCTATGACAACCCCAACCCAAAAAAGTAACAGCCTAGACAGAAAGCCATTAAAGACAACTCTTACAAACTGCCATAATAATGCTGACGTTAGCTCTCCACAGCGGAGGGCTTCTGGCGGAGGTGCGGGTGGGGAAAGACTCAGTCTTCCTTAGTGGGCTGGCTACTGGGAGTCTGACCATGCTCCAGTATTTGGGCAACACAGATTGGACTCCCCCCTCCCTGCTCCTTTTCCTCTTCTCTTTCTTTTGATGGGAGTAGTTCACAAGGGTGTGGGGCAGACCTGGGAGGAATGGGAAGTCAGTGTGATTTGGGTACAATCCTATTACAATAAGCTCCAAAGAACTGTCCAGATTCTTTTATTACCTTAGAATTTACTGCATTAAATACTATTTTTAATAACTGGGCTACCAGTTGAAGCTTTTAGTAATGTAGAATTGGCCTATCTGCATGCTTCCAATGGCCACCTTCCCATGATGGGCTTACATCCTGATGCAGAGTTGTTGCCATTACCCCACAAAGGGGCACCATGTTAATAAAGCACGTACTGAGGCCTGGCTATCTACCATATCAGACTCTATCTACCCCACCAGGGAAGGGCAGTGAAAAGGTCCACAGTAAGATCCCTCAAGTGAGGCTTAGGAGCAGCTCCTCCACAGATGAGCTGGGGAAGCTCAAACAGCGCAGTCTGTGGGTTTCCTCTAAGGAGGACGGCTGCTCATGAAAGGATCACCTGGTACCAAACAGGATTTCAATGACTGCAAACCAAGTCTCCCACCTCT